CTCTCTCTCTCTCTCTCTCTCTCTCTCTCTCTCTCTCTCAACACATATAAAAGGCTGTTTTCTCATTTACAGTTTTCGTTCCTATATATATATATACTGTATATATATATATATATATATATCTCTCTCTCTATATATATATATATTCCCTATAGATATTTACCCCGTTTACCTGCAAATGCATGCAAATAATAAACTGCAATGTCATGTGAATGTAACAGAGATATAGATGATAATCAAACTCAATAATAATAATTCAAAAACATTAGGTAAAATGTGCATTGATGCATGATACTAATGATCTCTCAATAAAGCGGACCTTGAAGACATTTTAATAGTTCTCAATCTAATATTGTCATATCGCATGCATCTACTTCAAATGGATGTTGTTTGGCTCTCTGCAGCTCCTCTATGGCCGCCTCAAGTAGCTGCCGCCGTCAACCAGGCTGGACTCTTGGCGCACACATACGCTCTGCCGCAGGCGCCAGCTTACAGCCAGGGCGTCCAAGCACCCATCGTCGGTGTGACCCCGGCGCTCCAAACCCCCCATCCACAATTACCCACACACTACCAGCTCCCACAGCAGCCTTCACAGCCAATGACCAACATGGTCCTCAACGTCCAGAGCCAATCCCTCGCCGTCGGCGGCCTGCCTCCAATGCCCAGTGTCTGCCAGGTCGCCCATCCCGTCCACACGGTGGTGGGCAACGGCCATTTGACGCATCCCATGGTGCAATCCGCCACCATGAGCTCCTCGCCGCTGCCCACCAACGAGCCGCTGACGAACGGCCAGCAGGAAACCGCCAACAGCCTGCAGATGCTGAGAACAGTCGGATTAGGGAAATACGAATTCACGGACCCCTGGCATCCCAAAGGTAAATTATATTTCAGCCACAAGTTTTCCTGGACATCATAATGTTTTGTTGCGCTTAGGGATGTTCATTTTAACCGTTTAACCAGTTAACTGACCGTAAGAGTTTTGATCAATTAATACAATCAGATAAACAGTTTAAAAAGTCATTTAATTATTAATTTTTTCAGTAATTTATCAAAATATTTAAAAAGGTTTGCTGCATGGTTAAAATACGCTATGCGTATAAAAAAATGTTTCTAGGGGTTTATAAGTCACATTTTATTATTTAATTCAGAAATGGGCCTAATGCCAACTCTATATAATGTATGTATGTATGTTTATATGTATATATAAACTATGTATATAAACATAGCTAGGCTATTTTAGTTACCCTCACTCTTTGAATTAACAGTATTTAGAAAATAATTACAAATATAAGCTATAGCAATATAAACGACAAGCCAAAACGAATTAATTTAGGCTAAAACGAAACTGAAACCAACGTTGGGTCTCTGATTCGACACAAAATCAAATGTTTCCCTATTCACGATGTATTTGAATTGCAAATTATTATTTATGTACTTCACTCGCGTTCCAATATCCACGTAAAACAAAATGTTTTGCATAACATCACGGCGGTACAGTGATAACACTTAACAGCACAGATTTTACTACATATTTTTTACTACATAGTTTTTTTTCCATATGTTTGACTGACTGTATTTTATTATGATAATGAACAGGCTGCATTGTCAAGGTAGCAATGCTTAACTGTGTGCGTGCATGTGGCGCCGGCGCAATCACTTTAATGGTTTCCTTCTAACAGTAGAAGAAACTAGTCCTTTTAGTCCTAAAGATAATCAGAATTGTAAAAGGTTTGCCTTCATTTGTGTACATTCACAATAAAAACAAATCTTTGTGCTTTTGTAAAATAAGCCTAAAGAAAAATAGGATGCCGCTTTCTGCCGTCTGTTTCCTTTCGCGCAGCACAAAAATTAACCGAAGCTCTGCATACTAGGCTACTTGTTGCACAGTTTTTCTTTAATTTTCTTAATTTATTAAGTAAAAATATGTTTCTCATATAGGCCTATTTATTCGTTATTTATATATATATCCTAGCTTTATTATGTTTTTCTCCGCTTGCAGAAGCGCTGCAGGTGTGTGATGTGATATGATGACCAAGTGAATCCTCATGTTCTGTTGTTTGCTGCTTTTTGCGCATGTAAAGTTAATCCTCGGGAAACAAATGTTAGTATTTTTTAACGGGTCGCAGACACTTATCCTTTCTAATTTAATTCAATTCTAATTTTAAATAATCTTGACGGTTAACGGTTAACAATCGGTTAACGAGCGTCGGTTGTCGTTTAGGAAAAATAACCGAAATGAACATCCGTAATTGCGCTCCTCTAGTCTCCGAAAGAATCGCTCGCTATCTTCGACCTGCACAACTTGATGATCTTGAATATATTTATTACTTTCCTGCCTTTCACTTTCAATAAAACCCCCCATTCATCAACACCCACAAGACGAGATGAGTCGGGGTGGATTGCCTTTCTTTTCCTTTTGTTTTTCTTTCCTACCCAGCCAGTGGAAGCTCCTAATGATTTTACGAATTAGCTTCTCTGATATTCGGCAGCATCCGGGAACTATTGTGAAGATCAAATCGATTTACGGGGCAGTGGATGCTTCCACAAAATTGTTGGTGGGTCTGAAATGGCAGAAATAATTTCCATATAAATGGAAACCTTATGTAAATATAGTGTAAATGAATTTCAGTTCATATATCAACACAGTCGGGACAGACAAGTTTAATGTACCATAGCTAATTTCTTAGGAATGATTTATTATGGGAAATAAACTTGTGGCGTTTGATGTAACTCGAGTAAGTCTCAACTTTTCCGGTTCTGGTTTTTGGACTCTCGTTCTTCATATTATTCCGTATAAAAATGGAATGAAATATTCAAAAGAAACCAGTATGTAGTTATTGCGTGATATTGTGCCCTAAAGCTCTCAAATCGCCTTGATTTTCTAGCCAGCTACAGGCAGAAATCTATTTTTCTGTCTCCCTGTATTGAATGTCATGTTGAATCGCGTGAGGTATTAATCTTCTGAAGAGAACGCAAGGTGAGTTTGCTCCCCATTTATCTGCTTGTAATTGCTTCTAGGGATGATGGGAAATCAGATGCCACAGACTTTGTTCATTGAATATTGGCAGTTTCTACTGAAATTTACAGTTTAATAAGAACTGGACAGTAGCGAGTATTCTTTCATGTCAACAGAAATGGCAAAATGGTTTGTGAAAAGGTGGTGTTTCGTTTTAGAATTAGACCTGAATGTGAGTTTGCTTTAAAGATTTTAGGAAGGGTGAATAACTTTAAGCTAGAGTTGCATCAGAAAATCTAGCTTTTGCATGTAGAGAGGTGTTCGAATAACCTTAAAAATTGGTGTAGGATTGACGTTGGTGGATTTAGGTTGTAATTTTGATATGATTGCATCAAAAACTGGTCTTTGCATGTATAAAAGTTTTCGATTAGTTGAAAAATTGCTGTAGGATTGGCCTTGGGGCATGTAGGTCATAATTCTGAGAAGATAGTATCAGAAAAAGTGTTTTTTGCATATAGAAAAGAGTTTGATTAGCTAAAAAAAAATATTGGTGTAGGATTTATATTAAAACCATTTTCACTCAGGAATTGCTAGTAAATTTCACAAATAATTACAAAGAAATGGCAAGTAACACATTGGATTAAAGTAGTAGAATTGGATTTTGAAGTAGAAACTCCAATAATAACTCCAACATACTCTAATAAAGTTTTATTATTTAACTGTGAAAAAAAATTTTTACAGTGAAAATTGTGGATGTTTTCAAGGACACCTGATGCCACCAGACAGATTACTGAAACCAGAAGATAAGAGAAATGTGATGCTCTGATGCATTTGAGTTGCACTGCGAAATGGATAGATGCATACATTTATGCTGAGTTTTGGCCGTTCTTCAGACAAAGATTGAGACTTTCCAAAGTGCATTTGAGAAAGTAAGTAATCTGATACAATGCAGGAGGAGCTGAATGCAAACTAATGGCGTCCGAAGGAGACATGCAGCTGTAGGGATAGACTGGTGCACATATATTTCAAATGAAAATGTAGATTTGAAAGATTTGGCCAGAACTGATCTATAAGGAAGGATAATGTGTTATTGAATGGGATTCTTGGGTTAGTGCATTACATGCATTCATTTGGCAGATGCTTTTATTCAAAGAAACTTGCTTTGTCGGTTCATGCATTTCATGGGAATCAATCCCATGACCTTGGCGCTCGACTGTTTGAGCTACAGAACAGTGTGTGGACTAAAGCTCAAACTGATAATGTTGGTGCTATTGGACTTTTTCAGTTGGAAAATTGAAAAATCATAATAGATTTTTCTGTCCATTGAATGTCTGAAGACATGAAGCCTTGCTTACTTTCTCTTTAAAACTAAACCATACGTCTGCTTCATGAAACCCGAGTTCTCCATGTTTCTGTAAGTGTCAAGTCCAGTCTTCATTTCTAACCTCCATCTCTGTTTATCAAGCCCCATGTGCTGCAGTGTGTGGACGCGGATCTCTGACAGTGTGGGTTTAGGATGAATTATCACAGCTTTATCTCTCTAAACAGTAAAAGCTGCTCCATGCAGCTTGATCTGCTACTCCTCTCCTCCGAGAACAGGAGAGACGTCCATTACAATCTGACCTCTTCCTGCTGCACAAACGCTGATTATTACTACCTTGACTTAGATTAGATGCATTGATTTTTAGCAGTGTTCGCCAGGTCAAGCTTCACTATTATCGTTTCCATTTAGAGTTAGTGATTTAACGTTTGGAATTAAATTTCAACACATAATGCAATGCAACACGGAGTTGAATTGTTCCTTAAATTGTGAAGCATTTGAAAAGCTGAATGCATAGTATCTCTCTATTTCCACACATACTATATATGAATTACACGTGCATTGCTTTCTTGTGTGTTTTTGTATTTATAACTAATGAAATCTAAAGTGAAATATTGAGGTTGAAAGGTGTCTGTTTATAGACGTGAGACGAGCATGAAAATTGTGAAATATTGAGTTTGAAAGGTGTCTGTTTATAGACGTGAGAGCATGAAAATTACTTCATACTGATGACATCTGTTATTTATGTAATGTTAATCCTGTTTATATTTTTATGCATATTGGATATTTTGCAATGCATTGCATGGAAAATAAACCTATGAGTGTATTTGAAAAGATTTATGGTAAAAACCATCCTGGAAGAGGAAAACTTCATAAAAGCTCCAAAGGCTAGTAAGCTTCTTAGTATTTAAGGTGCAATTCAGACACAAGCGCTGTTCCCTAGGAGGTAGGCAGCATAATTATGCCTTTTAAGACACCCTCCTTTAGAGAAAATTAAAATCTATGAATGAAGCAAGAGCAATGATTTATAAATGTACTTACTGTTCATTTAGTGCTGAACATCTTTGAAGAATAAGTTTAGTCTAATGAGTATTTAATGGCCTACGTAGAGTGTCCGTTTCATTTAGGATGCAGCCTATATAGGCAATAGACAGCAGAAAGCAAGGTACACTAGAGTTCAAAAGTTTGAGGTCGGTCAGATTTGTTTTAATGTTTTTAAAGAAGTCTCTTCTGCTCACTAAGGCTGTATTTATTGGATCAAAAATACTGTAAAAACAGTAAAATTGTGAAATATTATTACCATCTAAAATGACAGTTTTCTATGTGAATATATTGTAAAATGTAATTTATTTCTGTGATCAAAGCTGAATTTTCAGCATCATTACTCCAGTCTTCAGTGTCACATGATCTTCAGAAATCAATCTAATATGCTGATTTGCTGCTCAAGAAACATTTCTGATTATTATAAGTGCTGAAAAGACTTTGCGTAATTTTATTTATTTTTTTACATTTATGAAACATTTATTTTTTTTGTCAATTTTTTAACATATAAATATATGTATTGTCACTTGAATGTGTCCTTGCTGAATAAAAGTATT